TTCTTTTTAATTGTAAAATCTAAACCCTAACCACTATTTTATCAACCCAAACCGATATATAATTTCGTTTTAATTGTAAAATCTAAACTCTAACCACTCCTTTATAAACCCAAACCGACATATAATTTTGTTTTAATTGTAAAATCTAAACCCTAAGCCCTATTTATAAACCCAAACCGATATATAGTTTTGTTTTAATTATAAAATCTAAACATCAAAAATATATTTAACCATGTTTATTAAAAATATACATATTTTGTTTCCTTATTAAAGATAATTTATTTGTTAAGATAATATATTATTTTTTAAATGTATAATTATATTAATCGCGCTAACTCAGTTATCAGCTAACTTATGATTATAGGGTTAAAATTGTCCAGAAAAAGCAAAACTAATTATGGAATTATCTTTAACATATAATGAATAAAACTTTTATTTAGGTAAATACAATGCAATTTCCCTTAATCTATTAAAGTTTGTTAAAAAAAAAAAGAGAGAGTAAGACACACAAAAAAGGTTATAAAAAAGCTAGAAAGTAGAAACTATGGCTGTGTACAGGTAATTAGGATGGCAATAATTATGAAAGCAATGATCTGGCAGAACAAATCAAGATATTGTTTTATGACTAGATGATTATTGATTACATTCAAGAATCTTTCAAAAATATCAAAAAGAAAAAAAAGTTAAACGAAAAAACTTATTATGAAAAACATAATATAGTGATAGAATAATATAAGTCAAAAATTTAATAATTGGGTGTCCCATGCATGTTACTGCATAAACAATGAGAATAAAAATGGTACAATACGATACGAGGATACTATAATATTAGATAAGTTATCCCTTCTCGTATCAAATTAAATTATAAATCTTTCTATCAATCATCATGATTTTGTGTGTTCCTCTTTGATTGTTCTGAAGCTTCTGCTGCAGTCACTAAAACACTTTTAAATTCCCAAAATTATTGAAAGTATAATAATAGAAACTATAATGTAAAGTTAGTAAGGGATAGGGGATATGCATTTGGTCACAAAATCATGAATATATTCATTTTGGTCTAAGAAGAGACGCATCGATGAACGGGCCGATGATTTCGACAATATAAGGCCCAATAGTCTTTTCAAACAATGCCCGTTTCTTTTAACCAGATTGGTACCGGATTAAACCGGACGGACGGTTTATGATCCAAGGGGTAGGTAGGGAGCGAACCGAACCGGGGGTTGGTGAACCGAATCGGAAAGGTTTGGATCATTTTCACCAACTCTCTCACACACCAACTCTGACCGACCCTACCAATCCCTACCACTGCGGTTGGTGAAGCATGGGAATACGTCCTAATCATTTTATCTATCTATCTTGGTTAACTAAACCACATCCTACTTTTTCTTACTTCTTCGAATATATCATTTGCGAAAATGAAGAACAAACATTTATTTGTGTAATAAAATTATTTTAAATTGATTCAGTAAAAAAAATCAATAACATTTTTTTTTGGTAAGGAAAAAAATCAATAACATTGTGAAATGAATAAATTTATTTGTAGTAGCTAGTATAAATTTATTCAATTAAAAAAACCCAAATAATATTGAGAAATGAAGACAACAAAAAAAAAAAGAACAATAATTGATTTGCTATAACTAAAACAAATTCATACATGATTTTTTTTTTTTTGGATGAATTCGTAGAATGTCTAAAAAGGGATTTTCGATAAACACTAGTGTAAATGTCTAAAATAAAAATTATAAATTTACATATTTATTAAGACATAGATATGTATATATTTTCATCCGTATATACATGTTTTTTGAGAAATATATCTTCCCTTGTTTATATAAATCCTATTATGGTCATACTATACTGTATATATATTTTTAATTAATAGTTGCCTTCAAATGGTTTTGGCTGTCGTAACGGCTAATGTTTAGAACAAATATTACATACCTTATAACTTGATCACTGATATTATACTATTTTAGAGAAGTTTTACCATATATACTTTACCCCAAAAGAAAAAATCACCTTTTACAAAAAGAATATGTATAAATTATATTTTCTTTAAGTTAATTTGGATTAATAGGCTGTATATATATAAAGTACAAAACTCATTAGTGGTAGTAGCTCAACCCCACAAAACCAAACCTAAAGAAAAAAAAAAAAAGAACGATAAAAACGATGAATTCAGCTCCGGCGACGCCACCGCCGTTGAACTATTGGGGAGACATGCCGGAGGAAGAGTTCTACACTTCACAAGGGGTACGTAACACCAAATCTTACTTCGAAACACCCAACGGGAAGCTCTTCACACAGAGCTTTTTACCGTTAGATGGTGAGATCAAAGGGACTGTGTATATGTCTCACGGCTACGGATCCGACACGGGCTGGATGTTCCAGAAGATATGCATGCGTTACTGTTCTTGGGGTTACGCTGTTTTCGCCGCTGATATTCTCGGCCACGGCCGTTCTGATGGCATCCGCGGCTACTTGGGTTTGTTCTCTTACACAACTCTGTTTTGAAATCTTTGTGATGATCAATTTGGTTTTGGTGGTATTAATAAAGTATTGTGTTTTGTTTTGGTGGTTGTTTAGGTGATATGGAGAAAGTTGCAGCAGCATCATTGGCTTTCTTTAAGCATGTTCGTTGTAGTGATCCGTATAAAGATCTTCCGGCTTTTCTCTTTGGTGAGTCTATGGGAGGTCTTGTGACAATTCTCATGTATTTTCAGTCGGAGGCTGATACTTGGACCGGTTTGATCTTTTCGGCTCCTCTATTTGTTATGCCTGAGGATATGAAACCAAGCAAGCCTCACCTCTTCGCATACGGTCTCTTATTTGGGTTGGCTGATACGTGGGCCGCAATGCCCAATAAGAAAATGGTTGGCATGTCTGTCAAGGACCCTGAAAAGCTCAAGATCATCGCATCTAACCCACGAAGGTACTGTAAATTTACTTCTTGGAAGGAAACGTTTACGATATCATTAGCTTGACAGTTAATGTTTTGGTTTGGCAGATACACAGGGGCGCCTAGAGTGGGAACAATGAGAGAGTTACTTAGGAAGACCGAGTACGTTCAGGAGAATTTCGAGAGAGTGACTATTCCGGTGTTTACGGCGCACGGGACATCTGATGGTGTAACATGTCCATCATCGTCCAAGCTACTATATGAAAAGGCATCAAGCGCTGATAAAACATTAAAGTTGTATGAAGGAATGTACCATTCGCTGATTCAAGGAGAGACCGACGAGAATGCTGAGATTGTGTTGAAAGATATGAGAGAATGGATTGATGAAAGGGTTAAGAGGTATGGAACTAAAACTGCTTGAACAAAACCGACAACTATATATTGTGTTACAAGAACATGATCGAAGAGGAACATGTATATTGATGTTATGATCGTTGATATGACTTGTTTGTTGTAATCCAAGAGCATGATTTTTTGTGATGTAATAACAAAAAATCTTATCTATCATTTACTAAATGTTGGATTTAGCCTAGTTATGTTTAATGAGCATGAACACAGAACGTATAAATGACTAAATGTCAGGTAAATTGCTGTGTTATATACAATAACTAATGTCGAAAGAATTTCATCATCACTTCCACATGTTCCCCCGAAAGTTTTATTAATGTCAAAAAAGAAAATGTGAATGGAGGATCAGATGAAAAAGTAAATTTACTACTAATAGAAGGCCTCTCTATCTCAATGTGTCGCCACCATCATCAGACTCTAGGTGCAAGATGCTCTTCTCTTTGTAATCTCTCCCACATTACACACCGTTTGAGAAAATTTTCAACTAAACGACTAGGCGACTAGTTATGAGTTCTCAAATTAAGATCATCGCATCTAACCCGCGTAAGCTACACTATAAAACTTCTCGGAAGCAAACACTAAACAGTTACGAAATTAGACCACCATTATCAATGGCCACTAAAGATGGCTCTTAAGCAAGAGCCATTGATTTTTGTATGTAAATTAAAAACAAAAAATTAATGGGTTTTTTTTTGTCATCTGGTAGTATTAATAAAACTCAAAAGATATATTGTGAAATATAACTTAAGCCAGCGAAAACGAAAAATATCCCCGGAATCTAAAGCTCAAATAAGGAAAACAAAGTCGATAAACGATTAGAAATCCCAAAAACATAAAGCGAAAACAAAAGATAGCAACACAAAGCAGAACCCAAAAAAAACGAACCCGTAATCAAAAGACAAAGACAACTAGACTTAACTATAAGAGAACACATTAGTCTTAAGAAACAAGAAGAAATCTTCTACTGAAACCCCTGAAAAAAAGGTTTATCAAGGATGCCTACAGCCAATCTAAAAATAACATCAACCACGCCCAAAAATAACATCAACCACGTCCTATCAATGGTTTTTATTAAAAGTGGTTATTATTTAATTTTTAAAATAATAGCTATTTTAGTGTTATTTATGATAACTCCCCTATATTTTTGTTAGCATATTAAATACGGGAAAATGGTCATTTAAATACTGAACTAACATGTTTTTGCCAAAACAAATATGAACTCTTTAATAAGCCAAAAAACACACGTACTCGCGTTGACATAGCCACTTAATATATATAAAAGTCAACAAAAAATTGCCATCTAATAAACGTTAATAGACTGTTAGTGTGGAAACGATGTCGTTCTAAAGAGAAGAGAAATTGACCTTTAAACACACTCTCCCCTTCTCATTCTAAAGCCCTAATTACAAGGATGAAGAAGCTAACACCACGTCGACAAAACGAACGAGATGGTGAAAGTGAAGTAGAAAAAGATGTGTTTGAGGCGATTCCTGAAAATGATTGTCTCGTTGTTGAAGATGATGCCGATGATGAGCGTGAATATGACGTTGAAGACGCACAAGAGGAAGATTTGGTACTTGTGGATGAAACTGCAAGTGCAACCCAACTTCTAGAAAACCACTTCGGGGATATTGTGAATATTGACGTAGAGAGTGATGACAGTGGAGACGACATTTGGAACGACGATAAGATACCAGATCCGTTGACGTCAGACGAAGAGGAAGATGAAGAGAGAAGGCAATCTCGTGCAAATCAAGAATCAGAGGAAGAAATTCTAGCATTGGGTAAGACGTTTGGCTGTGCTTCTGATTTTAAGCGGGCACTACTCCAATATTCTCTGAAAACCCGATACGATATTAAGCTCTACATGTCATCACAGAAGAAGCTTGGTGCGATTTGCTCTGACACAGAGTATGATTGCAAGTGGAGAGTTTATTGCTCCTATGAGAAGAGAAAACACAAGATGCAGATTAAGGTTTATGAAAATAAACACATATGTGTAAGGTCTGGTTATTCGAAAATGCTAAAGAGTTCAACAATTGCCGAGTTATTTGAGGAGAGGTTGAGATTGAATCCAAAGTTTACGGCTAAGGAAATGGCTCTTGAGATAAAAAGAGAGTACAACTTGATAGTTACTGACGAACAATGTCGAAAAGCGAAGACCAAACTGATGAGGGAAAGAAGAGCTAGCCATGAAAAACATTTTGCAAGAATTTGGGATTACGAAACCGAGATTCACAAGACAAATAAAGGCACCATCATGGAGATTCAGACTATTCCAGGGCCAAGAACAGGAAGCAAGCAAATGTTTGATCGTATTTATGTTTGCTTTGAAGCACAACGATCTGCTTGGAAGTCAAAATGTAGACCTATCATAGGTCTAGATGGTGCATTTCTGAAGTGGGATATCAAAGGACAGTTGTTAGCTGCAGTAGGAAGAGATGCAGACAACAGAATTGTTCCCATCGCATGGGTTGTTGTGGAGATAGAGAATGATGTGAATTGGGATTGGTTTGTAAATCATCTCAAAAGAGACTTAGGACTTGGTGAGGGAAGAGACTACACTTTCATATCTGATAAGCAAAAGGTAATATGACCGTATCTATTTTAAGGTTTTAGGATGTGAGCTCAGTTTTATGTTTTGATTACTTGTAATGTTTCATTTTCTTTGAAGGGTTTGGTGAAAGCTGTGCATAATCAACTTCCAGAAGCTGAACATAGAATGTGTGCTAGACACATTCTAGGAAATTGGAAGAGAGACAATCATGATATAGAGCTAGAGCGGTTATTCTGGAAAATAGCTAGGAGCTACACCAAAGGAGATTATGCAGATAATTTGGAAGCTTTGAAGAAATACAGTCAAGGAGCTTATGATTCTCTTCTAAAAACCAACCCTCCTGCCTGGTCTCGGGCCTTCTTTAAGGTTGGTTCGTGTTGCAATGATAATTTAAATAATCTGAATGAATCTTTCAATAAGACCATTCGTCAAGCTAGGAAAAAACCCTTACTTGACCTGTTAGAAGATGTTAGAAGACAGTGTATGGTTCGTACTGCTAAGAGGTCGATTATTGCAAATAGGAGAAAGGAAAGGTTCACAAAGAGTGCACATGCTGAGATTGAATCTGCTATAGAGAAGTCTAGAGAATGCATAAGATACATGTCTACGGGTGATAGGCATGAGGTAGAGTTGCACAACTGTTATTATCGTGTGGAAATGAGGCTGAGGACGTGTGGCTGTGGGAAATGGCAGTTGAATGGTATTCCTTGCAATCATGCTGCTTGTGTTATCATTGGCAAAAAAAAGAAGGTTCATGACTATGTTTATGAGTATTTTACAACTCGAAGTTGGCAGCAAACCTATGAGCGTGGTATTGAGCCTGTGGAAGGAATGAAGTTGTGGCCTAGGTTAAATAGATTGCCCGTCTTACCACCACCAAATAGATTAGGCAACCGTGGTAGGCCAAGTAACCACGCTAGGAAAAAAGGAGTTAATGAATCTTCTTCTAACAAGACCAAGATCAAGTTAAGCCGAGAGAAACGTATCGTGACATGCTCAAACTGCAAGGAAGAAGGACACAATAAGTTAGGATGTAAAAACCAGAGTGTTGAGCCTGAAGCTAAAAGACCAAGGGGTCGACCAAGGAAAGAACCGGTTAGTTCACTTTCTTTAAAATCAGTTTTATTTTGAAGTTAGTAATGTTTGTTTAAACTTCCTTTGTTATGTTTTACACAGGAAAGATGATCACAAGTAGAACCTCAAGATGTTTAAACCTTTATGAAGGAAGATTACAACGACAATCACAAGAAACAATTTGTTGCTTTAGACTTTAGTTGCTTTTGGGGAAATGAGTCTGTTATTTTTTACTTCGTAAGACCATTACACAAGTCTCTGTTTTCTTTTGCTTTTGTTGTTTTCTTTTAGTTGCAACAAGTCGCTTTTGTTTTTAATGACATTTCAAGTTTAAACTTTTATGAAGTCTGTATCTCTGTCGATTGCAGGTTTAAAAACCTTTAGAAGGAGAAACCGAGAAAGGAAAAAAAAATGTGAAAGTTCTACATCTTTTAATTTATTGGATGATGTCGTGTTACAAACAAACGCCGTTTAACTTTTATAAGATGGAAAATTATCTTGATTTTTTAATATTTTAAGTGGCTATATCAACGCGAGTACGTGTGTTTTTTGGCTTATTAAGAAGTTCATATTTGTTTTGGCAAAAACACGTAAGTTCAGTATTTAAATGACCATTTTCCCAATTAAATACACAGACTAAATTATAAATTACTCTTTTTAGTAAGTTGTATTTTTTAACTAAAGGTCCCACGCCCCACGGATTTAATATCAAAATAGTGTCGTTATAAAGTATAAAACTCATTTGTAGTAGCTGACTAGCTGTCTCTTATCTTGTCAATTACTTTACCAAACCCCACAAACCAAACCAAAAAAGAAACAGAACAAACATCAAAACGATGCCGTCTGAAGCTCCGGCGACTCCTCTGTCACCACCACCGAACTTTTGGGGAGACATGCCGGAGGAAGAATACTACACTTCACAAGGAGTTCGTAACAGCAAATCGTACTTCGAAACACCAAATGGCAAAATCTTCACTCAGAGCTTTTTACCGTTGGATGGTGAGATCAAAGGGTCGGTGTATATGTCTCACGGTTACGGATCCGACACGAACTGGATGTTCCAGAAGATATGCATGCGTTTCTCTACTTGGGGTTACGCTGTTTTCGCCGCCGATCTTCTTGGTCACGGCCGTTCCGATGGCATCCGCTGCTACATGGGTTCGCTCTATTAACTCTGTTTTGGAATTTTACTTTTCTTCTTTGGGAACTCAAAACTCAAATAATTATAATATGCAAGTCAGAGACTTTAGGAGGAAGAATTGGATTTGTTAATGTTTAGACAAAAACAGAGAGATTACTCTGTTTAGTGTTGCTCAAGATATTTATATGGACCTTTGGTGATTAAAGATTGGATCTTTCTTTAGGTGATATGGAGAAAGTTGCAGCTACATCATTGGCTTTCTTCAAGCATGTTCGTGGCAGTGATCCGTATAAGAATCTTCCGGCTTTTCTCTTTGGTGAGTCGATGGGAGGTCTTCTGACGCTTCTCATGTATTTTCAATCCGAACCTGATACTTGGACCGGATTGATCTTTTCGGCTCCTCTCTTTGTTATCCCGGAGGATATGAAACCAAGCAAGACTCACCTTTTTGCTTACGGTCTCCTCTTTGGTTTGGCTGATACGTGGGCTGCAATGCCGGATAATAAGATGGTTGGGAAGGCTATTAAGGACCCTGAAAAGCTTAAGATCATCGCATCTAACCCGCAAAGGTACACTATAGAACTTCTTGGAAACAAACAATTTTGAAATTAGTAGTTTTGTGATATGATCAGGGTGTCGTCAAGTAGTCAAAAGTTTGAGACTTGTACATTTTATCACCAAACATCAATGTTTGATCAATTAGAAGTTCTGAATTTTGCTTTGCAGGTACACAGGGAAGCCTAGAGTGGGAACAATGAGAGAGTTACTAAGGAAGACCCAATACGTTCAGGAGAATTTCGGGCGTGTAACTATTCCGGTATTCACGGCGCACGGTACAGCGGATGGAGTAACATGTCCCACATCTTCAAAGCTACTATATGAGAAGGCATCGAGCGCTGATAAAACATTGAAGTTGTATGAAGGGATGTACCATTCGCTAATTCAAGGAGAGCCGGACGAGAATGCTGATATGGTATTGAAAGATATGCGAGAGTGGATCGATGAAAGGGTTAAGCGATATGGATGAAAACCGCTTAAAAAAAGCCTACATTTGTGTTACAGAGAACATGAAAAGAAATGAATACTGAAGTTATGATCCATATCGTTGATTTGATTTGTTTTCTTGTTGTATGTTTGTAAATCCAAGAACAAGACTTTTGTGATGTAGCAACTTATATATCATATGGATGATATAATGATCATGGTAAGCAACATAGAGGTAGCATTTTTTGTTAACTTTTGGCTAGTGGTTTTGTTTTATCAAGCTTTGCTTTGCAAAAATCTATAAACTTTGTAACCTTTTTATCCGGTGAAGGAATGAAAACAAAGTCTGTTTTGTCCACACAAAAAAAATGATCACACGGGACCAGACAGTATTGAATTATGTGTAGGCTTCATCTTCAAAAGAGATGATGTTTAAGTTTCTTTTCTTCTGTTTTTATCCACACGTACATTATTGTCCTAGAGAATATACAAGACACGTCCACGTTCCCTACCTTTGTATGATATTATTTTTGGCATTTTTTGAGGAGGGAAAGATTTTGTCTTTCTCTTTATCTCTATCTTCTCCTCAGCCTCTCAATCTTGTCCAACGGTAGGATTATGTCACGAACCAGCCGTTTTGGCCCATCTCATATCTTTTAGGCATGTAAATTATCTCAATGTTTCCATGTTTTTATGAATTTTTAAGTCTTGTACATGTTCTTCCTCCCTTCAACTTGAATCATATTGTGGCGCTCATACAATGTTTTGAATTCTTGGTTTACGTTTTAACAAAGATTTTTACGTTTTCATAATGCATAAAGTCGTTAATCTACAAAAAACTACTTTTTGATTTAAAGACATTTTTGTAAGTAAATATTTTATTAAGTTCAAATGTTTAAGCTATTTTATCATTTAATTTGGCTATTCAAAACTGATAATGTGTCACCACCAAGGCACCAAAGGGTTTAGCGACAATTCAGTTTAGTCTACTAGTTTTGTAAATTAGGTAGAGCGAAACTTTAGTTTTATATGATGGCTTCAACCACCAATATTGTTGAAGTTATTACATGAAAATTAAAGCCACTGAGCTAGCGCTGATCTTACAACACATAGAGAATGCAGCATCCACTGATTCAAAGAGAGAGCCGCCAGATGAGAACGATTATGTTGTGTTGAGAGATATGAGAGACTGGATAGCTAGATGATAGGGTTAACTAAGAAGAATGGATCCAACTAACCTAAATCCGCATCAAACCTACATAAACCTACGTTTGTGTTAAAAGAATATGAATAGATCAATAGACCATGTATATTGATATTATGATCCATGACTTTGTTTTGTTTTTGTGTTGATCCAAGAACAATTTTTACGTAACAACTTACATATATCAAAGATTACAAAAATCCTATTTGTCATTTACAAGATGAAACAAAATAAAAGGTACAATATTTTTGTTAATTTTGGCTCCGAATCTTGCGAATTGCGATGTATGATATTTAATAACACAAACGACAAGGTCATCGTATAATAGTTGCAATATATATAACCATACAATGTTATGTGGTCTTCAACATAAAAATTTAAAGAATCGAAAGATGTTTTAATCTGTCTTTTGTTTGCTTTTTTTTTCCGACTATATTTATATTTTGTATCCACACGTACGTAACTAATTGTCCTAGAAAAATATTAGGGACACGTCCATGTTCCAACGTTTCTACGTTTTCCTTCTCTAAATTTATATATGTATGTTTGCTAAATATGTATTTTTCTTCGATTTAGTAGTACAGAAGATTTTGTCTTTCTCTTTATCACTATCTTCTTCTCAGCCTCTCAATCATGATGTCCAACGGTAGGATTATATCTTCCCAAACGGCTAAATATAATGGCCCATCTCATATCTTTCACACATGTTAATTATTATCTCAATTCGTGTCGTTTGAATATTTGCCTTAAAACGTAGTGTTAAGTGATGTTTAAGGTTTTGACACACTAAATAATAAAACATATAACTTACCCATTTTCCATAAAAACATCATTAACTAATATAAATTCAACCAATAAGAAAATATGATGTAAAATATAATTGATCAAAACATATTAAATACATTAAATTTTTGCATAGGAAATTGGAAACATCACTTATATTGAAACAAACAAAATTGGCTAAAATATTACTTATAATGAAACATAGGGAGTATAAATTAAAGTTTGTGGCTTATTTACATTATATGGAATAGTTGTATAGTATTTTTTTTTTAATCGATTTCATCATTTTTTTAATATTAGTTGTATAGTATTTTAGAAGTTTTCATGGTTTGAGAAAAATGATTCCGCTATATTTATGCATATGTTTTAAAACTAGCTTATCAATCGAGAAAACTAGCTAATTGACATCTTGTAATTGTTTTTGCATAATTTGTTCAGCTAAAAATGTTTCCATTACCATTACGCTTTTCATGTGACATATTTGTTGAAGTCTACTAGTTTATTTTAAGTTGGTTGAGTAAAGCAACTAAGCAAGACACATAGTTTAGGTTACATAATTCCCAAGACTCAAGTCATTTTAAAGTTTGTGTGTTTTCATGCTTTTATAAAAATTTCCCAACGAAATATCTCAATAATTTTTATTTTGGATTTCCGAAATCTAAGTTGATTGTTTTTATAGGAAATGGCAAGAATTTGTTCTTTCCTTTGGAGTTTTACATTTGAGTCATGATGAGACGATGACGTTTCAATGCAAGACTTTTCAAGAAACAGAGCAAACGTTAACAAAATTGCTTACACACTCTATAAAAACTAAAGTACAACTAACCCCACTTTCACAGACACACACACTAAACAACTTCCACCGTGATAAAACCAAAGACAATGGTGGACAAATCATCTTCGCCGGAATCTGTCACCATCTCCACCAAATCTCCGTCAAACCCCACCGGAAATTTAGATTGTTCTTGGTTTGACGATGGTTGCATTCTTGACATTGATTGTTTCGTTAACACCATCGCCGGAATCAAATCCAAAGGTGTTCGTCCCGATCTCATCGGCTCAATCATCGTTCACTACGCTTCCACGTGGCTCCCTGACCTCTCCGACCACGTCATAGACCCCAATGATCCACAGCCGCAGCCGCAACAGCAATCAGAGAGCTTCTCTGTTACTGCGTTTGTGATGAAGAAACGTTTCTTAGTCGAAACACTAATAGGAATCATCCCACCGGAGAAAGATTCCGTTCCTTGTAATTTCCTCCTCCGTCTTCTCAGAACGGCGAGCATGGTCGGAGCAGATTCAAATTACAAGGCAGAGCTCGAGGCCAAGATTTCATGGCAGCTTGACCAAGCTTCCCTCAAGGAGCTAATGATACCTTCGTTTAGTCACACGTGCGGGACGTTGCTTGATGTTGAGCTCGTGACTCGTTTGGTTAAGAAATTCACCGGATTAGACAACGAAGGAGTCAAATCTGGTGCTTCCCTAGTTAAAGTGGCCAAGCTCGTGGACTCTTACTTAGCCGAAGCCGCTTTAGATAGCGACTTAAGCCTCCCGGAGTTCATTACCCTCGCTGAGGCTCTCCCTAACCATGCTCGTGTATGTGAAGATGGGTTATACCGCGCAATCGACACTTATCTCAAGGTAAATGTTAATTAAATGAGCTTCCGACTCAAAACTAATTGAAAATGAGTATATTGACCAATACCACATTTATATTATTTTGTATCCTCTGTTACTTGGGATGTAAGATTCATAAGAGTAAAAAGGTTGAAATCTAGAAGCCTAATTTGTGTTGGATTTGATTCAAATTAAAATTTGGGTTTTATTGTTTAGGCACATCCTAAAGTGACAAAGCAAGAAAGGAAGAGAGTTTGTGGACTAATAGACAGCAAGAAGCTATCAATGGAGGCATCTCTTCACGCTGCACAGAACGATCGTTTACCAGTTAGAAATATTATTCAAGTTCTATTCTCTGAGCAGACAAAGCTAAGTCATCGCAGTCAGAACATTGACTGGAGTGGCTCATCGTTTAGTGGCGCTAGGAGCAGTCCTAACCCTTATGGTTCACACTACTCAGAGTCTGGTCCTACACGGTGCATGTCCAAACGTGAGATAAATGTTCAGCACGCAGAGATAAGAAGACTGAGAGAGGATATGGCAAAACTGAAAAGCGAGTGTGAAGCAATGCAAACGCAGTTACATAAGCTGATTGAGAAGAAAGGTACTTGTACTAGTAGTAGTCATAAAGGGTTTTTTAGGTGGAAGAAGTTGGGATTCAGGAGCGGTTTAAGCGTTAGCGTTGTGGAAAATACAAATGGTGAGCAAGAGTTTGGTGGTAATGGAGAAGGTGAAGAGTTTGAGTATGTGACTCAAACTCCTGGTAATATGAAGACAAAGCTTGTTAAAGGAAGAACACCTTCTAGGTGGAGAAAATCTATGTCTTGAAAATCAGTCTTTTATCGTCTGTAGTTTTAGTTTCTGTTGTTGTTGTCTTGTTGACTTGTTGAGCATTTTATTCGTGAGCCCTTGTTTCTTAATCTAACACTTCGTACATTTTGTATCGATGGCTTGTGGCTCAAGTTTCTAAGTGGTTTTATCTTCTTGTACATCTAGTTTTTCAATTTTCAGACTCTATGGGCCTCATATTTGGTCCCTATATTACAATTTACTATATTACAATTTCCCAATTCAGTGGCTCTATGGGCCTCATATTTGGGCCCAAAATCATCCCTAACTTATTTGTCGTTGAAATAAACCTATAGTTCTTCAAAATTTATATACGTATGCACGAATCATATTGGAGTTAGCTTATGGTTGTGCTTGGACTTGGAACTGGAAACAATAAAGAGTAGAAAAGTTTAGATAGAGTCAAGGTCAATGGGATTGCACTTAAAACATATCCCGTCGAACACGCCTCCTCCATCTTTAGAAGTCAAGTCAACCACTCACTCAATTAATTTTTTTATATTGAACCAACAACAACAACTAAAAATTGGTGATAACAACCATTTATTTTTATTAGATATTAGAATCACTTATTTATTTAAAATTTTGTTAGGCCCTAATTAGCGTCTAACAAAATTAGTCGGTTTTTTTTCTTCGTATTTTAATATATTATGTAAATATACATTTTAAAGTTATAATGTTAAGTTGTTAACCATATTTTAAAATTTATTTCCTGGATGTTAAGAAGCAAATTTAAATATATTAATGCAGTTAGTTAAAAAAAATATCGATTTTCGTAGAAGAATGTTAAAAAGTTTAAACGGCTGAATATAAATTTGTTTTTTTTTTTTAATTATGAGTTGTGGAACATATAAATTTCCCCTAATCTATGAATGCTTTATTTTTTATTTTTAACAATCTAATGCTTAGATATTAAAAAATAATAATACTCCGAAAGAAAATAATTAAAAGAAAATCCGAAAGAAGACTTTTCTTCTCTGTTCACTGTTGTGCTTAATGGCTTTATAACTTCGAGTGTAATCGTCTCTCTCCACACTCTCGATCTGTGAGTCTTCGTCACCAGTGATGTAACTCTTTCACCAAATCGAATATTACAGACAAACACACAAACCTGTTCTCCTTCTCTTTCGTACCCTAAATCAACTGTGTCCTAAAAAACCAATTGTCGCGACTCGCAAGTTCCTGTCTTTATTTGTTTCTCCAGACCAAGGGGTTCTTCTACTAGTCTTGTCAGTATGAAAACGGTAATAAAGCTTCTTCCTTTGATCTTCCTCGCATTAGGGTTCTTCTTTTCTCTTGTAATTGCTTCCTTCTCTGAGATAGAGTCCGCTCCTGTGTTTGAATCGATCGGAGAGTTCAAAGATGAGTCATCCACCCCTAAAATTAGTTACGATCGGATCAATGAAGTTAAGAGAAAGTGCAAATCTGTGTTATCTTCAGCTTCTGAATTGAAAGTCGAAGAACTCTCTATGGCTCCAAGAAAAGCCAAGAAAAAACTCAGCTTTAGATACGGAGATTGGAGTCAAGACTCGGGTGATTCTCCGATTCTACCGTTTGATTCGACGAACACACCTAGAAACTCGTCATCGAAGCCTATGAATCTTGTATCTTTCTCAGTCACAGATCTAGATCTCCCACATCGAACCAAGAAATACGTTGGCGTCAATGGTGTTCTGCTACTCGCGATCACAATGTTTAATGAATTGCCAAGCTTGAGATCTCACGGGATCCGTGAGTTTGAGTTATGGCCGAGTCATACGCAGCTTAAGATCTCGTTTCAAGGGATTTATTTTGAGAATGGTGATGATGAAAGAGTTTTGTGTATGCTTGGTGAAACAATGTTGCCTTCTCGTGATGAATCTGATTCTTCCTCTGATCCATGGAAATGGGTTAAGGAACATGACACACCTCCTCTGTTACAAGATGATCAGATCTTGCTTCTTCTTCGGTTTCCAAAAAGCTTCACATTGACTAAAAGAGTGATTAAAGGAGAGCTTACGAGTCTAAACCAGAAGCCTAGTCTTAAGTTTTTCGACAAGATCCATCTGTCTTCTCAGCTTGGGAAATCTGTTCGATACGATTTCGTCTCTAATGATTTGGTATCAAAGGCTTGTGATCCATATCCTTATAAAAACGATACCTTTACGAGTTCTGGAAGTGGTATCAATGTCTACAAAGGGAAAGGATTCTGTGATCTTCTACAAAGAGTTGCTAACCGCTCGCCTCTCACAGTTGTACCTAACTGGAAATGCAACGGCACAGATGAGTACTGCAGCAAATTGGGTCCGTTTGCTTCTGATGGAGATATTAAATTAACGGATGGTAGCTTTAAAGATGTCAAGTTGTATATGCAAAATATACATTGCGAGGAAACCGCAGCTCGGTCTGAAACCGATGCTGTTACTAAAGTCTCAGCGGTATTTCGTGCTGTTCACCCGAGTGAGAATCTTTACATTTCAGGTATGAGGTCAGGGTTAACCAATATGACGGTTACAGCTGAAGGGATGTGGAAACCTTCTAGCGGGCAGTTATGTATGGTTGGGTGCAGGCGTGGTCAGGTCGATGGCTGTAACGCTCGTGTCTGTTTGTATATTCCAACTACCTTTTCGATAAGGCAGCGAAGTATACTCGTTGGGACGTTCTCATGCCTAAATACCGAAAAGAATTTGACACCGTCTTTTTTCCCTCTATCGTTTGAGAAGCTTGTGGAGCCTATGGATATGCAGAATTACTTTCAGTCATCGGTTTCGCACCCGTTTTATAGTTACTCGAAGTTAGATGAAGCTGGTGCCATTCTTGAGAGAAACCAAGAGTTCTCATTTGGAACTATAATCAAGAAGTCGGTAATGTGGTTTCCGAAGTTAGAAGATTCTTATGATTTGCTTTCAAGCCTTTCTCTTCTAGCTGAGGACTTGACTTTCCATACCCCTGCATTTACCGACAAGCGGGCCTCGGGAACTAATTTTGGCATGGATGTACTCTCGCTCGGTCCTTTATTCGGGCTTTTCTGGCGTACGACGAATGTTTCTATTGCGGATCAGACAACTACTACACCTTACCGCACAAAAGCTGAATACACTGAGAAACAGCTTCTTCTGAATGTGTCAGCTCAAATCTCACTTACAGGGGAAAATTTTGGTAACTTCTCTGTTCTTTATTTGGAAGGTCTTTACGATGAGCATGTTGGGAGAATGTATCTAGTCGGATGCAGAGATGTGAGAGCTTCGTGGAATATCTTGTTCGAGAGTGCTGATCTTGAAGCTGGGCTGGATTGTTTGATCGACGTGGTGGTTTCTTATCCACCCATCAAATCACGTTGGTTGGCTGATCCAACGGCTAAGGTTTCTATATCCAGCACAAGACCTGAAGATGATCCTCTCTATTTTAAACCGGTGAAGCTCAAAACAACTCCTATCTTTTACAGAAGGCAACGTGAAGACATACTTTCTCGTGCAGGCGTTGAAGGGATCCTCAGGGTTCTCACCCTTACATTCTCCATCGGTTGCATCACGAGCCAGCTTTTGTACGTCAGTAGCAATACCGACTCACTTCCTTTCGTTTCGCTTGTGATGCTAGGAGTTCAAGCTCTCGGGTATAGCTTGCCGTTGATCACTGGAGCTGAGGCTCTCTTTAAAAGAAAAGCAGCTTCAGCAACAACATACGAAACACCTTCATTTGATCTACAGAAGAGTCAATGGTTCAATGTGATTGATTACACTGTGAAGCTCCTCGTGATGGTCTGCTTCCTACTAACTCTAAGGCTTTGTCAGAAAGTGTGGAAGTCTCGTGCCAGATTGCTCACTCGAACACCTCAAGAACCGCATAAAGTCCCAAGTGATCGCTGTGTGCTTCTCATTGCCTTGATATTACACGCAATAGGATACATACTCGCTCTGATTCTACATCCCGCAAGAACAGAGAGATTAGTTTATGGAGGTTATGCACCTGCTGCTTCAAATTGGTGGCAAACCAAAACAGAGGAGTATATTGGTTTGGTTCAAGATTTCTTCTTGCTCCCTCAGGTGATTGCTAATGCTATGTGGCAGATTGATACCCAGCAGTCACTAAGGAAGCTATATTACTTCGGAATCACTCTTGTCAGACTTTTCCCGCACGCCTATGACTACATCGTTGGATCTGTTCCTGATCCTTACTTCATCGGAGAAGAACACGAGTTTGTTAATCCGAATTTCGACTTCTTCTCTAAGTTTGGGGATATCGCGATACCTGTTACCGCTATTCTTCTTGCTGTCATTGTGTTTGTTCAGCAGAGATGGGACTATGACAAGCTTTCCCAAGCTTTAAGCGTTGGACGGTTTAGGATTCTCCCTTCTCGTTCTGTTAAATATGAGAGAGTAATGTCCGAATCCGAAATGGTTTCTAGAGTCCGTGTCAATGGAAATCACAGTGATGAAGAATGATTTTTTCTAGATTTTGTGTATTAGTTGATGTATGATTACAACACACCGAGAAATGGATGTGTCCTTCTTGTGACCTACCGTGCAAGTATATATGTTTTCTAGAGCAAGGTTACACTTATTTCTTTCTCATTTAAGATTATTACATTTCACAATATGAAACTGTAGATAGTGGATACACACATACATAACAGAAGCGATTCAAATACCACAGTAGGCTTTGATGGGACACTCTGATTTGTAACCTGTGTCTGTACGGTAGAAACTAAGAAGACCGAGATGATCAAATGGCTTATACATGAGAGGATGTTGATGATCAATAAGCTCTTCTGGTACTTGAAGAGTGCCATTGTTGAATGCAAACATCGCAAGAGAGTATCTGTCTGTTTTACCGCTCACTAGAACTTGGTGTCGTGGAGACCAAACCCTATCGTTGCTCCATGCCTAAAGGTATATACATTACACTTAAATTAGTTCAATTTATGCTTGTATGAATTAACCGATTGTAATACTGTATTATAACCTAACTTTTACCCTAAGTGCATCGCCTGCGAACACCATGAAGAGTGAAGGTGATGATAGATTGATATTGACTCGCTCTCCTTCTCTAGTTTCCAATTCAAGCCCATTGACTTGGTCCTGGTGAAGTATTGTTGTGAAGCTCTTGTCTGTATGTGTAACAAATCCTAAAGTAGGTTTTTCATTGTTTGGTGCACAATTCTTCAGCACGCGGAGAAGGTAAGTGGTTGATTCGATATATGGATCGTAGTACTTCTCGACATTATAGCTCTCGAAAACCATCTGAACCACCATTTGATCAAGCTTGGCTGCAAACTCCGCATACTTATGCAAACATTCACTAACACAAACAAAGCAAAGTTGAAAGTTTAGATATCAGAAAACAATAGGTGAGGATTCTAAAATGGACCGGCTCCTTTATTGCATACCTAAAATGTTCATTTCCTTGCGGCCACATCAAACCTGTGAAGCTTCTGGTTTCTTTTAAAGAAGTGGCATTGTCAATGCCAAGACTTTCATGAAGAGGAAGAGCTGGAATCTGACCAACGTAGCCGCTCAAGGGCTTATCGTATTTGTTCTTCATTTTGGTCTGAGTCGGAAGATCAAACAAGTCGACCAAAGAACCAAACACTTGATCAAGAAGATCTAGCGGAGTCTTGTTTTGAAGATCTATGATGAAACATCCATATTCTTCAAGTGCTTGTCTGATGTTCTTACTTGTTGTTTCCCAATATTGTGTGCCTTGTTTCAAATCTTCTCTTGAGAAATCTAAGGTGGGAATTTTACAAGACATTTTGTTTGCTAATTTTGTATTTTCAAGATTTTGATGGGCTTTTTGTTGGATCATATCTTATGTTTATATATAATCTCATACTATTGTGGATGGAAATATTCTCTGAGATAAAAATGGATTTTAGGTGATCATTAGAAGACAAATCTTGAAGGTATCTTTACTTCTTAGGTTTCAATTATTCGTTTTAGAATGAAAACAAAATATTTGTATAGTAATATTACTACTAGTCATCAGTTCTATGGACCACACCACACTATACATTTTCAATACTAGTCATTGAAACTTTTGGACCACAATATAAACTATGTTATCGAATAAGGAGACTGCATTTTCGATTTGAGTTTCTCTAATACATGCTAAGAAAGAAAAAAAAAAAACGTAATATACAATTGAATATGGTTTTGGTTCTTAATCATACTTTAGCTTCTCAAAGAAAGATTACCATTCTATATTGATATTGTTATATATAACTTTTTTTTTGGTTTATTTTATATTAGATCTGAACGCCTTATAAATTTACAATATAAAACCCAGATGTCAAACAAAAAGTATACAATAAATAAACTCATTACTGATGACTGATGTCAAACAAAAAATTTTATAAACTCATTTATATATGTAACAAATTCTCTATAAATAACAAGTGATTTTAACAAACACAAGAAAGGTCAAACGAAAAATAAAGTATCCAAATATGGAATCAATCTTGAAGACTACTAGTAAGGTTCCCATTCTTGATTTCACGAGCCAGCAAGACTTGAAGCCAAACACGTCTGCGTGGCGTTCCATTTCCAGAGAGGCTTGTGAAGCTTTGGAGGAATACGGCTGTTTCGTGGCGGTTTACGATGGAGTAACGCAGAAACTAGAAGATAACGTCTTTGCCGCTGCTAAGGATCTGTTCCATCTCCCAACCGAGACTAAGATGAAGAACGTAAACGAGAAGCCTTACCACGGCTACGTTGGTCAAATGCCTATAATCCCTCTTCACGAAGGCCTTGGAATTGATTATGTTACCAACAAAGAAGATGCTCAGAGATTCACTAATCTCATGTGGCCTCAAGGAAACGATCAGTTTTGGTATGTCTCAACTCGATTTTATATTTAGTTTTTACGTCAAATGAGAAGCCAAATACTTTTACAACTTCATGAAACCCAAAAAAAAAGAAACAAAAAAACTTAAACCACTTTATGTTACGAATTTTACATTTGCAATAAGTTAGCACGGAACCTAAAGTAATATAATAAGAGATATGTACCAATGAACTTATCGCCAATTAGTTTTGAGTTAAAAACCATATTTCGCACACTTTAAGCCTTTTTCCATTCAAATTTTGACATTCTCTCATTTGGATAGATCAAACTAGCTTAAAGTTTTAGATAGATTGATATACTTTAGGTTCCTATATGGTTTGGGTCGGAAAATGCATTGGGTTCATGTTGACTGTTTTCCCCTTTAACTTTTTAGTTATCATTTGCTTGATTATACTATTGCAGCAAAACTATACATAGTTTCTCAAACGCAGTTGCGGAACTAGACAAGCTAGTGGTGAGGATGATATTCGAGAACTACGGTGTTGAGAAACACTACGAATCGCACGTCGGATCAAAGACTTACCTACTCAAGTTCCTCATGTATTTGGCTCCACCAGAGTCTATCTCAATGCCAGCTTTTCCTCAGCACACAGACAAGACCTTCTTAACGATACTTCACCAAAACGATGTAAATGGTTTAGAGGTGAAATCAAAAGACGGTGAATGGATCTCCCTTCAACTCCCACTCAAGTCATACGTCGTCATGGCCGGTGACATCTCTATGGTAACTCAAATGAAATATATATCATTTAGGTTTCGTTTTTTTTTTAATGAATTTTCATTACATTTAACATAAGTAAAATTTATTTGTTAACCGTACAAATAAAACAGTATTTAACCACTTTTTCTATATATTGCAAAAAAACGTTTTTCTATACAAACGTAAACTCATAAAACTGCTTGCATGCGGTTAAATAGTTAAGGCCTTGGTTAAACAAATGGTTTTGAATTAGAAATCCATTAACTTTTACCTGAATTTTTATTTATCTATTTATGATGTAAAGCTTTCCATGGATGTATATATGGCTAGGGTTGGAGCAATGACAGGATACGTTCTTGTGTACATAGAGTGACAATGGAAGGAGACAAGGTGAGGTACAGTATTGGTCTTTTCTCGTTCCTTACGGGATTGGTTTCGATCCCTGAGGAGCTTGTGGATGACGAACATCCTCTTATGTATAAGCCATTCGACAACATCGCTCTCATAAACTTCTTTGCAACCAAAGAAGGCCGTGAAACGAATTCCACTCTCAAAGCATATTGTGGTGTCTAAAAAGCATATGTGTAATGTAATGATCAAAGTGATATAGATCTTTTACAATTATGAATGTTATAATCTCATTGATCAAAGTGATAATGTTTTATAATTAATCTGATTGGATCTCTACTTACAAAGTTTCATTTTTTTTAAATTAAGATTTACAGTATTATGGACTTCCAACTCAAAATCAATGGGCAATGAGTATCCATTATATATTTACTTAGACCACCAATACTGGTGACTTTAACTCCCATCACATTTTCCAATATGTGATCTTTCACCACAATTTTTAATAAGGTAAGATAGAAAGTTCAAATCATTGGAAAATGATTTGATCCAATGAAGAAGTTGTATACTACACGGCTACAACAATAAGAGTGTGACATTACTGGTTTTATGAGAGAGTGTGGTCAGTTGTCAATTATCAAAAACCACAAAAATCTATAATGTAATCTAGAAATTAAGATAATATATATTATCTAAAGAGATCAAGCTAATTGATCCAATCAAACCTTTCTAAATTTGTATATAACTACAACACTAAGAGTACGAAATTACGATTTTCCTACATCACAAAGATAGTTGTCAGAAACCATGTAAAATATATGATATGGTCTCGGAATTATGGTTATATCTTTGAAAAATCAAAATCACTAGTGGTCTTCGAAAGCTTATATAAGAACACATAGAGAGACATCTAAAATCAAGACAAGTCTCTTTAAAAGAGAAAATGGTGAGTTTGGAAACCCCTCTTGATCTTCAGCTCCCGGTCATCGATTTTCGAGACCTAAAACCCGGGACTGTCGAATGGGATTCGGTGAGAGGCGATGTCCGGAAAGCTTTAGTAGAGTACGGATGCTTCGAGGCCTTGTTCAATAAAGTCCCTGTCGAACTTCGAAAGGCGGTTTTCAATGCTTCTAATGAGGTTTTCCAACTACCTTTAGAAACCAAACAGAGAGTTGTGTCAAAGGATATGTAGGTCAGATTCCAACGTTACCTTTGTTTGAAGTCATGGGAGTTGATTATGCAGAAAATGCGGATACAGTCAATGCCTTCACTCATAGGCTGTGGCCTCAAGGCAACAGCAGTTTCAGGTTTTTCTCATTTTGGTTTTATAAATTTCGGAGTTTGAAATGTAGATCAAACTCTAAAATTGCTCTGTTTCTGCAGCGAGGCGGTTATGTCATTCGCGGAAAAAGTATCAGAACTGGACTTCATGACACGAAGAATGATAATGGAGAGTTTCGGGCTCGATGAAAGCTACATAAAGAAACATCTGAAGTCGACGAAATGTCTCGTTCGGTTGATGAAATACCAAGGAGTTGAAGAAACAGAGGAGGAGTTAGGGATGGAGCCTCATACAGACAGAAACATGCTCACCATACTATGCCAGAACGATGTCAAAGACGGGATCGAGGTGAAAACTAAAGACGATAAGCATTGGATCAAAGCCAATCCTTCTCAAGATTCTTCATTCATCGTTCTTGGCGGAGCCATGCTACACGTAAGTTTCAAGCCAGACTACTTCTATTAAAGACACACTAGTTTCTGTGATGTTTACAGCGTAAAACATGTTTTCAGGTTCTTTTGAATGGTCGGGTGCTTACCGGTGTTCACCGAGTAATGAGGATGGGAACGAACACGAGATTCTCGGCTGGATTGTTCTCTGTTCCAAAAACAGAGGATTTGATATATGCACCGGAAGAAATGGTTGACGCGGAGCATCCTCGCTTGTATAAGCCAGTTAATTTTGAGGCATACTTCCAATATACCACTGAGGGGACTGGAAGGAGAGATCTATGTGCTCCTAGGACTTACTGTGGCCTTTGATGATATACAAATTAAACGTCTTTCCCCAAATATAATAATAAGAATAAACTTGTTTGACCTGCTTTGTTTAAGTTTCCATGTAAACTCATCTCCATCCAAATTAATAAAGATAAATTTTCATTGGTGAAGGTTAAAGTTTTTGAGATCACATATAATAATGTTTTTTTTTTTTTGTGATATTTGCTTCTCATGTTTGAGTTATATACAAGTTGCAGAGATAGACGGTGTGGGATGTCAAAATAAAAAATAAAAAATTGACGGTGTGGAGTTGATTGTTGAATCCAAATTTTATTTTCCGTAGGACAGCAAAGTATATAGATTTGAGGTAGATTACTCTGTTCTGAACTTCTCATACCTTATTCTACAGTTTCTAAAGAATGACCATTCTTGTTGCTCTGTTTTGAATCCTAACTCTGTTTGTTTCTAACCAGAACTAGTCTTGTTTGCTTGATTTTTTTTTTTTTTGTCGGGAAACTGTTCACGGTTTCTCAAACGTAGTTTCGGAATTGATCCGGCTTTTGGTGGAGGATTACATTCAAGAAGTGCCGTATGAATAAATACTAGTTATGAGTCATCCATTTGTAAAGAATGGGTATTTAAGAGAAAAATCGATGAACTTCCTTAATCTATTACAGTGGATTCTGGAATTTTGAATGTGATGCAACGTTATCTAAAAGCTTATTATGGTTCAGAATGCTAACTGATTTGTTTCTACTCTCTCTATTTGTGTGTTCATGGTTATTAAATAAATCCTATGGCCAACTTGGCACTTAAAGCAAAAATATTCAGATTGTACTTGTAATGTAACCTATGTATTATACTATAGTCTAGAGACTTGTTCAAAACTTCTAACAGACTTCATATATATATTAGGAAAACATGCATGATGCATCCAAGTAAAAGTCGTTATATAATGTACAAAAGTAACAAATGTATAATTAATAAGACCGCCAAGTTAGGGTCTTTTTGTATTAGTTGTACACTTGTACTAGTGTTTCCCGAAAATAAAATTACAATAAGACTTTGAACTTTAAGGTCTTACTAACTAATAATGCTTAAGATGCGACCTTACTAGCCTTCAAAGGCTCATATATGAATACAAAGAAAATAGGTTTTGAGAGACAATAATGATGAGTTTGGAAACCAGTCTTGCTCTTCAGCTCCCGGTCATTGATTTCACGAGCCAAGACCTAAAACCGGGAACTTTCGAGTGGGATTTGGTGAGAGACAATGTCCGAAGAGCTCTAGAAGAGTATGGATGCTTTGAGGCCTTGTTCGATAAAGTCCCTGTCAAACATAGAAAGGCAGTTTTCGATGTCTCTGAAGAGTTTTTCCAACTATCTTTAGAGACGAAAGAGAGAGTTGTTTCAGAGATTAAGTACAAAGGTTACGTGGGTCAGAATCCAACAAATCCTCTCTACGAGGGTGTGGGCATCGAGTTTTCAGACAATACCGAGAAAGTTGATGCTTTTACGCAGAAGCTTTGGCCCAAAGGAAACATCAGCTTCAGGTTTAAGATCTTGACTTATTTATATGTTGTAGTATTGAACAAATCCAACCCTAAAAATGCTCTGTTTTTGCAGCGAGACGGTTCTATCATTCACTGAGCAGGTATCCGAACTAGATTTTGTGACCCGGAGAATGATAATGGAGAGTTTCTGGCTTGAAGAAAAGTACATACAAGAACATCTGAATTCCACAAAATGTCTCATGCGCATGATGAAATACAAAGGAGTTGAAGACACTGGAGAGGAGGAGTTAGGCATGGAGGCTCATACAGACAGAAACATGCTTACAATACTTTGTCAAAACAGTGTAGCAGACGGAATAGAAGTGAAAACAAAAGACGATAAGCATTGGATCAAAGCCAATGCTTCCCAGGATTCTTCATTCATTGTTCTTGGCGGATCTATGCTACATGTAAGTTTAGCTCTCTCAGGATGTAAGCAAGGTTTTAAAATTACCTATGACAATGAAAACAGAGGATTTTTTAAATGTTTTCAGGTACTGCTGAACGGTCGGGTGTTATCACCGGTTCACCGTGTGACGAGGATTGGAACAAACACAAGTTACTCGGCTGGACTTTTTGCTGTTCCCAAAACAGAGGATTTGATATATGCACCAGAAAAGGTGGTTGACGTCGACCATCCTCGTCTCTTTAAACCCGTTGATTTCGAAGGATACTTTCAGTTCACCACTGAGGAATCTGGAAGAAGAGATTCGAAGGCTCTCATGACTTATTGTGGCCTCTGAGGAAGAAACAAGCCAAAATGTGTGTACCAAAAAGGAAACCAATCTACATTCAAAATAAAGAACATATATCTTTTTCTTTATTTGTGTTCGTCTTGATGTTTTTGTTCTTCATTTGTGTGTGCATGTGATGTAATATATGTATATTTTACATTTTCAGAGAAAACAAGACATCTGAAACAAACAAGACATGTTTGATGAGTTTGGAAGCAGGTCATTATCTTTATCTTCGAGTCATTTACTTCCCGAGTCCAAATCAAAGGTCGAACAAATCATCTGTACGAGGATGTAATGTATCTATCTGTATTAAACTATACACTTAATTCTTATAGAACATTATTTTCATGAAATTAAGGGACAAACAAATCTAAACATTAAAAGATTCGATCCTATCAAACTGTTTTGAGATTGTATATTATATCCACAAGAATTTTTTTTAAAAATGTGTGGTCGTCCTATAGTACATACAACAACTTGTCATTACATGAAATTAGATTATCTCTTGATATAACTCACATACATAATTAAGGGGATGTATTGAATCCGATGATTTGAGTTTTAATGAGTTCTTATATGATTTTGATGATTTCAGAGAAGTTGTTGTGAGTTATTGTAAAATCTTTTTAAAACCATGAGAACTGAAACAGAACAAGCTAAAAAGAACAAGTTTGTGAGGCAAGAAATTATAAGTTTAGATACTAATCTTGCTCTTCAGCTCCCGGTCAATGATTTCACAATCCAGGATCTAAATCCAGGAACTATCGAATGAGAGTCGGTGAGCCGTGATATGCGGGAAGCTCTGGAAGAACACGGATGCTTCGAAGCCTTGTTTGATAAAGTCATCGCCGAGCTTCGGAAGGCGGTTTTTGAGGCCTCGGAGGAGCTTTTCCAGCTACCTTTAGAGACAAAACAGAGAATTGTGTCTGATGTAAAGTACAGAGGGAAACCGTTCACGCATTCTCAAACGTAGTTTCAGAATTGAACCGGCTTTAGGTGGAGGATTACATTCAAAAAGTGCGGTATGGATAAATTAGAGTAAACACAGTCATTCACTTATAAGCTAACTGGTTTTTGATAGCTTATAAGTATGCATACGTCTAGTGTAATCTATGCGTATTGTACTAAACACTTGTTCTTATAACACCTCATTTCCATTAAATTAAGACGTACACAAAGGATTGATCTTTTAATGCCACCAATGAAATCCATGTGCACTATCTTTTTTTTTCCTTTATGTTCAATGATTTGATCTTATCGTAATTTCTCTGAACTTTTTATATTATAAAGATAAAGACAATGTACTGTAGTCTTTCTAAGTTTCTATATTAGAGACAAAGCAATGTGTTGTCATGATGTAAGAAACGTGTAGGTGTTGTTTGTTTACTTTTCCCCACTCTCTATAATATAAGGCTAAGTGTAGTGGTCATTAAAAGAAACAGAAGAGGTTTGTGATCACAACAGATGATGAGTTTGGAAACCAAACCAGCTCTTCAGCTCCCGGTCATTGATTTCACAAGCCGAGATCTAAAGCCAGGAACTGTCGAGTGGGAGTCGGTGAGAGGTGATGTGAGGAGAGCTCTGGAAGAATACGGATGCTTCGAAGCCTTGTTCGATAAAGTCACTGTCGAGCTTCGGAAGGCGGTCTTTGAGGCCTCGGAAGACCTTTTCGGGTTACCAATAGAGACAAAACAGAGAATTGTGTCTGATGTTAAGTACAGAGGATATGTTGGTCAGAATCCTACAACTCCTCTGTATGAAGGAGTAGGTATTGACGTTGCAGACAATGAAGAGCAAGTCAAAGCCTTTACTCAGAAGCTCTGGCCTCAAGGCAACATGAGTTTCAGGTTTTAGGATCTTCAAAATTTTGCTTATTTCACTTTGGATCTTTAGAAATAGATGTGAGAATTTGCTCTGTTTCTGCAGTGAGACGGTTCTGTCATTTACCAAGCATGTATCAGAACTGGACTTCAAGATCAGGAGAATGGTTATGGAGAGTTTCGGGATAGACGAAAACTACGTAGACAAACATCTGAAATCGACGAAATGCCTAATGCGGATGATGAAATACAGAGGAGTGGATGAAACAGAGGAGGAGTTAGGCATGGAGGCTCATACAGATAGGAATGTTCTCACCATAGTTTGCCAGAACGATGTAATAGACGGACTAGAAGTGAAAACCAAAGACGGTAGACACTGGATCAAAGCCAATCCTTCTCAAGATTCTTCATTCCTTGTCATTGGTGGAAGTATTCTACATGTAAGACCCCTTCTTTTTTCTGTAGATACTTTGTCAATCAATGATAATATTGATGGTGTTTAACAATGTTTTCAGGTACTGTTGAATGGCCGGGTACAACCCGCGGTTCACCGCGTGGTAAGGATGGGGACGGAAACAAGATACTCGGCTGGACATTTCTCTATGCCAAACACAGAAGAGTTGATATATGCACCGGATGAGATGGTTGATGCAGCGTTTCCTCGCCTCTTTAACCCTTTTGGTTTTGAAGCATACTATAAGTTCACCTGTGAGGGATCTGGAAGGAGAGATCTATCTGCTCTTAAGACTTATTGTAGCCTCTTAAAATAAATAAAAACTTCTTTCTGTTAATGACTCTTGAGTTGTTTCCATGCATCCCAATGGAATAAATCAATGTATCTAATTAGCTTGAGAACAGTCTCTCATCAAATATATGACCTGCAAAAAGAGAAATGCAAAAAGGAAAGAGAAGTAAATGCATGGTAAATAAAATTGACATTAGGGTATATTCAAAGTAAAACAAAATGCGCATAAGAACTTATACAGATGTTCTGTTTACAAAATGCCCCTAGAATAATTGATATCAAGCAAACAAAATTCATAACTATCAAGGCGATATGTTATAATGGCTTACTTGTAATGTGAGTCTAAAGGAATAGTGATGTTTTGTCTTCAATTGCTTCTGGAATAGTTGACTTTAGGATCATAATATCCATTCTCCTCAATACCAATAAATAATGATTAGAGGAATTTTTGACATCTTGCGAAGAGAATTTATTGGAATAAAGATTCCATGAGGTTGATATCAAGACATATAAATAGCCTCTAACATTTCAGTTCAGTAACCTCATCTCCAGCTATCTCTCTTTGTCTCAGTAAATGGGTTCCGAAACTCCTCTTCTTCCTCTTCGTCTTCCTGTCATCGATTTCTCAAACAAAAACCTGAAACCAGGAGAGCCCGAATGGGACTTAACCAGAGCTGATGTCAAGAAAGCTCTACAAGACTATGGCTGTTTTGAGGCCGCTTTCGATGGAATCCCTGTTGAACTACGGAAATCGGTTTTCGGGGCCTTGGAAGAACTTTTCGACTTACCCTTACAGACCAAACTGAGAAATGTGTCCAAGAAACCATTCCATGGATACGTTGGTCAATACCCAATGGTGCCATTGTACGAGAGCATGGGCATTGAAGATGCTGATGTTGCAGAGAAAGTTGACGACTTTACTGGAAAGCTATGGCCTCAAGGCAACAACAGTTTCAGGTCAGCAAACTTTTCTGTCCTTATTTCAATTAGTTTGACATATATTGATCAGTCGTTCTGCTACTACCAGTACAACAATCCATTCATTCTCCGAGAAGTTATCAGAGCTGGACATAACTATCAGAAGAATGATCATGGAGAGCTTCAGACTTGATAAATACATAGATGAACATCTTCACTCAACGAATTACCTCATGCGAGTGATGAAGTACAAAGAACCTGACACAGAGGATACAAAACTGGGGCTAAACGCTCATACTGATAAAAACATTGTCACTATCCTTTACCAAAACCATGTTGAGGGGCTAGAGGTGCAGACCAAAGACAACAACTGGATCAAAGTGAAACCATCACAAGACTCATTCATCGTCATGATCGGAGATTCCCTATATGTAAGCCTTTGTTTATACTTCCATCGAAACAGGAATAATCAATGCTTGATAAAACAAGATCAACACAAATGTTTTAATGTCACAGGGTATGCTGAATGGTAGATTACACTCTCCTTATCACCGTGTCATGATGACGGGAACAGAGACGAGATACTCACTTGGACTGTTTTCCATACCAAAAGCAGGACATATCATAAGTTCACCAGACGAGCTAGTGGATGAAGAGCATCCTCGACTGTTTAAGCCCTTTGACCATGTTGAATTCCTTCAATTCTACTACACAGAAGCTGGACAAAGATCCCAATCTGCTCTCAAAACTTATTGTGGAATCTAAAAATCAACAAAAGCTTTCTCATTTGCTTACTTCTCAATAATGTCTAAGTACCCATTTACATCAATAAGAAGAATCTTACCAAAAAGTATGAAATTTCACCAATTCTAACTAAACAGAAGCTGGACAAAGACCTCACACTCTGCTCTCAAACCTTACTTGGAATCTAAAAAACAACAAAAGCTTTCTCAATTACCCGCTTATCAATATTTTCGAAGTACTCTTTTACAACAATAAGAAGAATTTCACCAAAAAGTATGAAACTTTCAACCAAAGTGTGTGACTTTCGATATGATCTTACAAGAATCAGGAAACATAAAATTACCTCATTGCAATTTACTAATAAAAGACTGAGATCAATTTAGCCATCTCTCTTAGCTCTTCAGGTGAAGGAGGACGAGGAGCTTCTTTGAGATAAACAACGTATGAATGATCGCCCATGAATCTTTTGATGTTGGTGCTGTTGTTGGCGAATGTATACATTAGTACTATCGGAACTGCAACGTATACACCGAACTTGGCGATTTCAAGAATCCCCTTTGATGTTCCTACTGATGACATTTGTAAGAGACTCCAAGATCTCGATGTGATCCAGATAACACACTAGGATGAAGAAGCTTTTAGGGTTATTTGATTTCGAAATTTGGATTTTGTTTTCAGATTGAACATTGATGAGTGGACAAATTATTGGATCAAATTGGTAAGAAACAATGGTTAGGGTACCTTTTGGCTTCGGTCTTTTAATTAGGGATGAGAAAGAAGAATTAATAACCAGGGAAAACCGAAACAATGGTTAGGGTACCTTTTGGCTTCGGTCTTTTGTATTATCCGTATTCGTATCAAAAAATGTATATGTCATTTTATTTTTACTGTTTTAATTTGTTTAATTTGATTACTATTTTCATACTTTATAATTTTTACTATTTCAGAGAAAAAAGGATATGGATATCCTCAGGATAATTAATAGGCTTATCAAAATTTACCATGTAATCAAATTAAACAGATTAAAATAATTAATATTTTCTAAATTTAACAAACTGAAATGAGTCAAGAAATAAAATCTGAATCTAAATCTAAATTTATACTCTGAATCTAAATCTAAATTTTAAAGTTATTAACCCTAACATTATTTATAGTTTTTAATTATAAAATCTAAACTCTAATCTTCTCTTATAAATCCAAACATATATATATATATATTTTCCTAATTGTAAAAACCAAGCTCCAGCCACTATTTTATAAATCCAAACCATTATATAATTTTGTTTTATTATAAAAACTAAACCCTAATCTTATATTTACACCTAAACCGGCATATAGTTTTGTTTAATTATAAAATATAAACCATAACCCCTCTTTTATAAAGTCAACCCGACATATAATTTCATTTAATTATAAAATCTTAACCATTATCTTCAATTATAAACCCAAACCAATATATAATTTTGTTTTAATTGAAAAATTGAAATCCAAATCCTTTTACATAAATTCAAAGCGATATAAAACTTAGTTTAGTTGTAAAATCTAAACTCAAACTCTTATTTATATTTAAACTCATTTAATAAAAATTCTACATATTGCATTTTTTTTCTTTTAAATATAATATTAGGTGCCATACTGTTGTATCATGATCGGTTGATTAAGATTAGAGGAAATCACAATGTTGCTATGACTATATGTTTCTAAATATATTTCATTTCTTTTATCACAGCTGCTAAGAGAAACAAAATGTGGGAAGAGATGGAACCTTAATATGAAGGTACTTCATAATTTTATCAATGATCTCTCCGAATTAAAGAAAGTGTTGAGTTGAAATCTAATTCCACATTTTATGTTGTGTAGAGAAGCACAATGGTATTAGTGAAATCAAAACAGAACAACCTCCATCAAATACAGAGTTCTTATTAATGTGGTGCATTAAGTTGACAACAAATGTCTTCTCTATAAACAGAGGGAAGAATATTAACGAATTGTATTACAGAAAACCAGAGACCTAAAGTTGGCAAAACGAACCAATTAAGATAAATAGAAGAACCTTTATACATTGCAGAGGTCCTAATTATATAGCACTTATTGATGCTTCAATGACCGATCATGAATGTGCCTCTTAAAATAAGCTACAAGCATCCCAAGTTCTTGAAACATCTTTTTTCTGAACTTGAATCCTTTTGGGGATAAACCTATATACTCATGGTGTAGATGGATGCTTCGTATGTAAGACAGTATGAAAGTACCCGGATGCTCATGTGAAACCCCAAAACCATAGACTACCATCTTTGGATTTTTGCCCTTCTCAATCCGGAGGAGATCATCAACTTCCGGTTGCGTCCCGGTTCGGAACTTGCGATGGTTGAGAATGGTCACAAGACGAGCTACCCACGGACCAACGTACCAATCCATCATCCAATCTAGACACTCATATGTTTCCTCCCCAATTCTCAGTGTCTTCCCAATACAAACGTCGTCCTCTTTCATACCTTCAACTATCTCCTTGTGCACGTACACATTATCGTAAATCTTTAATGTCAAAGTCAAATAATTGACTCCTCGAGAGCTAGGATGAACAACGCAATCTCCAAACTGCTTGTCAGACAAGTACTCTGTTGCTTGGTGAGCAGTTATGTTTCGGAAGCTAGGATGAACAATCATTCGAAACTTGAATCGGTCCTTTTCTTTTGGAGCCATCTCTTTCTCAATCTGGACACCCTCTTCGTGGTAATAAGGATCAAGGTTACCATTGTTTCTCATTTCACTTTCTTTGCAGACAAGAAACAGACGGGGAAGATTCTTTTGAGTCGATTTAATCTTGCAAGTAAGGACATCACCTTCAAAAAGTCGGTTTGACAGATCCAAAATATCTTTCCCATCATCTGAGTAGTCTTCTTTCAAAAGCGTCCCAGTTAACCCGCAGTCTACTAAGCATACAGCTTTTCCAGTCCTTACTCTCTTAACAGTGGCCTGCATAATTCTTCCCTCGGTGATTGTTTCACCCGTAATCATAGATAACTCTTCATCTGTACTTGGCTCACTATACTGTCTCCGCCAATCCTTGAAACCACCGCATAACTCTCTTATGATACTACTATAGGTTTCCTTCTTACTCTCCTGTTTCCTGCTCCCCAGATACTCATCAAGGACTAGATTTCTCAAAGACGCTGCCCCATCGTCTCTCACACGCTCTGTCGCATTCACGTTGTAATTGTCACCACCTCTGAGATCATATATATCTTTTGCCAACTCCTGTGCAAGACCATACGATTCAGGATGTATCCTAGTGTCATCCAATAGGTGAAAAGACTGGCTGCTGCTACTAGCAGCAAGCCCACTCCTACGGATACGCAAAAATCCAACTGCATTTACAAAAACTTGTTTCGCAAGCCCATGATTTATCAGGTCCTTGCGGGAAAATACTGAGCCAGCTCTGATAAGAGAGCTCTGCAAGGATGCAGCTTTCCTAAGACCGAGCCCGGAAATGAACTGCAAAGGAGAGAAAAGCCATTCGTGGCTGGAGGCCAAGTTAAGGTCAATTCCAACCTGGTTGGTTATGTCAACCATTACCTGTTCAACCATCCTATACTTCTCGTCTGGGTCAAGAAAGTTCTCCAAAGAATGAAGGTTCCAGGACAAAATCTCCCTACCTTGGCCGCAGAGAGTTGCGACCATTGCCAGTGGATTCTGAAGATAACGCCCAAGAGCAACTGCACGTCTCTCTATCCCTGACTGGTGAGGTAGCTGTTCACCTGAGATTTGAGAGTTTTGATAAATCCGAGGAAGAGATTCGTCCACGTAAACAATGCTTAAATCATATATCCAGTTTGGAACTTCTGTAAAGTCTCCTGCCATCTCGAACATGACCTCAAAAATATTATCCTTCAGACGAGCGCAAGACAGGTTTGCAGCTCCAAGAGCCACGACGCCCGGTTTGTGGTCCTCCATAAATTTTAAGAGACGATCCTTATCCTTCTTGATACATTGCCGGCTATCAGCATTTTTTGGTGGCAGTGAAATGGAATCTGCATAAAGCACATCAAGCAACTCTCCAAATGAGTCCAGCATCACAAATGTGGTTGCTGGATTTCCAGGTCCCCAGCAACATGCCAGAACCCTCGGTGCAGCTTCCTCATTTGTACTGAACTCAGGGTTGTGTTTTGTGTACGGCGCTTCAGACACTTTGTTCCATAAATTATGTCCATACTCTGAAAGCAACTGAACCTTTGCTTTGCTAGTTAGCAAAAGTCTTGCTTCTTTCTCCATTGAAGGTAAAAGAAAACCATCCAGTGCTTCCTCCAGTATCAATTTCCTCTGTTTATCCCAGAGTTGAGCACACTTACTACTAACACCAGCACTTGGAAAGTGTTTACTGCATTCGCTAACAAGGGTATACATGCAATTTTCTGGCAGCTTGAAAGATACCTGAAGAAGGTTATCTTCTTCTGCCTTGTGGATGAGGAGCCATTGTGTACCCTCAAACATGGTCAATGGCTTTCCACGCAACCACTTGACCCCAGCAAGCTGATGGAAAGAATCAATAGCCATATTACCAAGCGGTGTTGGGCTTACCGACACTAGTGCATTCTGCATATAGATTCGACGAACACACTTTTTGATGGATGGCTCACAACTTAACTCAGTTGCAGCCACATGGCGTGCACCCGTAAGAACAGCTTGGGGATGTTCAAACATTGCAGACACATAGTTCAGTGCCATCTCCTCTGGTGATGTTTCCTTTGCAACTTCAGTCTCACCAACAAGTAATTTTTTGAGAGGCCACGCAAGTCCCACTTGCTCAGAGCTATAACCAAACTTGTTTGCAGCTTCCCGCAGGACGGAATTAGAATTAGTGTTATTATGTTGTGCACAAGAAGTATAATCACGAGGAGGAGGAAAATGCAAGCAGAACTTTGAGTCTACATCATCAACTTCTCTCTCCGTTTCAGCGGCTTTGACAGACCTAACAAGTGAGTCTAAGAGAAACTGATTGGCAGACTCTTGCTGGAAAAGTCTTGAATAGTAGAAACCAAGTAAGAAAACTTTCCTTTCCCGAAGAAGGAGCCACTGTCTATCCAAGTCCTGAATCATCCACAAGACCTTATGCCACACTGCCTCAGGTTTGTGGTCTAGATCAAAATCGATTTCCAACAAGCTCCGGCACTGTTCCTTCCGGTACATAGCTATAAAGGGTATCTCTAGTTTCTCCACATGATGTAACACCAAAAAGTTTGCGATGTCATCTATGTTGATCCGATCATGGTCAGATTCTTTAAGTAGAGGTCTAAGTTGAGCATGTATCCAATTGCTTTCTTCCTCAATGCTAATTCCATCTGACTGATGGTCTTTAGAAGAGTGCACTACTCTCTCATGAATATCAGCAAATATCTCATCTGGTCCATGCTTCAGTTTCCTCTTCTTCAAGTTGTTACGGATCTCGAGTGGATCTGACATAAGAAAAATAATACTAAGAAGAAGAAGAAGAAGGAAAAATAAGAAGAAAAAGTGAAAAACTTTGGGAAGTTACAGTCTTACAGACAAAACCAGAGATGTGTGTCTATGTTACCTTTTAGAATATTGTTTGTATTATTCATGGCCATGGGATACATTAGCCCAATCGTATGTGGTTTAGTTTCTGATCTCGCAAAGACGATCCGATGAATACTGCCAAAGATACTGCAATCGTTCAATTCTGGTTTTGCAATATCTCTCTCTGGTGCTTCTTCTTCAGTTCGACGTTTATATATATACTTTATTGGGTTATCTCAAATAATTATCCTCCCCACAGTATTCGCTTTCCTTTTTCCTTTTCACATACAGTTTTTACATGGACGAATATAATCAAAATTTCCAAAAGTCATTTTTTAAAAACTTTTTTTAGAAGAAAAAAAAAACCTATAATCTCCTTACTAATATTGTGAAAGTACATACTTAAAATTTACCTTATTTCTTGTGAAAAATACATTAACTTGCCAGTTACAAATAAATGTTTCAAATAGCAAATTAATAATACTACATCAAATACTAATAATAGTATACAGTATACTAAATAATAATAGCAAATTAAAATTTCAAAATTAATCTCTACAATTTAATAAGATTCTTAAAAAAATACAGTATATACAATTATATATCTAACTTACCTTTTTTATTTCATCCAAAGAGGAAGATTACCTTTTTTATTACTCATCATACTCCACCTCACAATATTATATATCTACAATAAGGATAATGATCACATGATTCACATTTATATGCGCTGCTTACAAGTACAAACTATAATTGTAAACACCAATATCAAGTAGGACTTTCAATAACACACTTTATATTTTTAACAAAAAAAAAGTAGGACTTTCAAAAATACAAATATACTTGATATTGGTATTCAGCAGTGCAGACAAAAATATTACTTAATGATATTTATTTGATGGTGTAGATAAATTAGAATTAACATTATGTATGTACTTTATTTAAAATTACAAAGAATAAAAAATATTTCTTAAACTATACCCAAATCACGAAATTTTGTATATTTTAAAAATATTTTCATAATGAAATTTAGTTTTTTCTTAATTAGTTATTAAGAGTTTGTTTTGCTAAGATCCATATTAGTTATCTACACCATCAAATAAATATCATTTACTTATATGATTAAATTTAGTTTTATTAACCATCAAACAAATAAAAGATTTTTAAAATAAAGATTTATACAACAGTTTTTTTATACAATTTGTTTTTATATAGTTAGGACCTCTGCAATGGATAAAGGTTTTCTGTTTATCTAAATCTTTTTTTTTTTTTTTTTGAAATTTTTTTTTTTTCTCGACTCTGCTGGGGAAAAATTGTTTATCTAAATCTTTATTACCAAAAGTTACTGGTCGGTGCGGTCAAGCCCGGGTTTAACCATTGTTCAGAGCTTTGAGGCTTTGATCATGTATAGTTCATCAATATATTCAATCTTATCACGAGACTTACGAGTTCTTTACATTTTATTTGCAAGACTAAGTAGATATTAAAGAGCAAATGGGAGGGACACATAAAGAGAATAATTAATAATCGAGATGATACATAGAAATCAAACACAGCAACAACACTTGCGTGTCCCGCGGCAGCAACAGCAACAGAACAACCCGTAAAACCTACAATAGATTAAAAATGATCATTAGATCTATCGACATGCATGATGATGATTATAATCAAGAACTTTAAAAAGTAGAAAAGATAAAGCCTTTAATCATATTGGTACAAACGTTGCGTAGAAGCAGCCTTGTTCGTCTTGACGTTTCTTGACATCGCCGTAGTAAGTCATCTCTTGTTGCGAAGGTGCCTTCATATTCTTTTTTTTTTGTTGTTGTTGTTGTTTGTGTGTGTGTCTTGACAATAAGTTTAGGGGTTGGGATTAAATTGGATGTAGCTAGTATTTATATAAACTTCAAATCTGTTACCTGCTTTTGATATGATCATTTAATACGGAAGATATGGCCACATTTATTTTGGACCGACAATGTAGTTAGAATCTCCACCAAAAACTACATGTATATGAATATAGGCTTACATAATGACAAGTCGGAAATAATATGTATATCTTACAATTTTGAAGAAATCAAACGTATATAATTTTATCCACTTTCATATAAAAATTTTACAATTTGAGAAATTACTACAATTTGAAGAATTTAATTCTACTCAAACGGTTTTTAAACTTTGTGGTTGACTAAAGATGATCATGCATCGCCACTAGTATCATATTAATCTCACGACAGACCAAAACCAGTTGCATCTGATCTCTTTACTATCCGGAGCCTCTTGCATGACTCTTTGAACATCCTGCCAACAAAAAAAAAAAAAAAAAAAATCAAATTTGTGAATTGTTGTTAGAGATTAATTTACATTTATTTCGGTAAAGTCGATAATGATATATTGTATAAAAGCAAATTAAAACATAAACTTACTGCCAAGGTACATCTCCGACGAGCATCCAGTCTCTATCCTTGTCTTCGTATATAATTATGTATTCGCACTTCTTCCCCTCATTTGCCACTCCTGCATGATATATGTTAAGTTTCATAAATTTCCAACTATAATATATATGAGTGTTTCCACAGTTCCAATATATATATATATAAACTCTTTTTTTTTTGTTCACTATAATAGAATCCATTACTAGCAATATAAGTTTATAGATCAACGTATCAATCATATACATGGTCATGTAAATAACTATTACGGGAAAACAGAAGACTTGGCCGTGGCTAAAAGATAATTCTCTTAATTAGTAGTATGCTAGTTAAATTGACAAACATATAAGCATTGATCTTTTCAATTTATATACATCTTTTTACTATGTTAAACAAAATTGAATTGTCAACTTAAACGTGAACATCAAAGCACGAATGAATATCCTATCACTACCATTTCCGCTTGGTGTTTGATGTATACATTTATGTTTTACAAAAACGAATCTATCCAAAGTAAATATTAATCTCATTTTATCACAATAAAAAAATTTCAATGGTAAGAAAATCTAGTTCTCTTAAAGTTTCGTAGATAGTTTGGGATTCTGACTTACGTTTTGTTTTTTTTCCATTATGAAATAGTTCACGTACGTAAAAGAGTTGCATTTAATTTGAGAAGAAAAAGATCGATGACATTACTAACCTAGGCCAAGACAGCCGAAGAGATCCTCAAGAACCGTGGCTAGATTATCATAACTGTTGCTCGAACCAAGGTCAACCTTCCTCAAGTACGGCAAACCATCCATGCTCACTTTCACGTACCCTATCGCTTTCGAGGCTAGTTCCTCATTGTTCTTCTTTCTCCTATAAGAACACACCGGTGGCCACCCTACCGCCTGACTCTTCATCACCGGGGAGGAGTTATCCTCGACAGATGACACCACACCATTTTCATCCTCAGTATCTACCGACGATGAGGTCATCATATCCGAGAGAACTCTCTTCTTCTTTTTTGATTCGCTGTAATTATCTCCCGGAAGACCCAACCGTAGCTCTGTGATCTCAAGTCCTAGACCTTCCTTAGCCATTTACTCTTCTTCTTTCTTCTCTTCTTTTGGCTTTGGCTATTTGAAGTTTTGATACTTTTCTCTTCCCAAGCACTTCTCTTGTTGGAATGATAGTATTGTACTACCTTGTGCTTTTATATGTTGTCAAGTTGGTCCACAAGAGCCAATAATATGCTGATACGTGGAAGAGACTAATACTCATATAATTCTTTCTATTAGCCTTGTTGGGGAAGACAAGGTTAGACCAAAGCCAGGTCAACTGAGTATGTGTTGGTCGGTCACATGAGAGACATAAGTTGGGTCCTTGTTGTTCATTTTTGTTTATAAAACAAGTTAAGGTAAGGGAACAAATCTTACGGGTGTTAATATTTTGTTAGGTTTCTTATAGGATTCGCTGACCGTCCGATCATTGGCCATCCTTCCCAAACACTCACATGTGTTTTCCTTAATAATTTACAATTATGTAAGGATATCAATACTATTATTTTTAGCCTATTCTTATTTGGTAATCGATAAAAGTTGCTTTTTAAGAATACGAAGTTGTACATACATGTACATTACCAAACAACATAAATTAGATAATTAGATATCAAAATCAATGAAACAAATGGCGAGAACTGTAATTAGAAGAAAATAATAAGTGATTGGAAAATTCTATGGATTAAGGAAGTTGAGTGAGAAATAACATGTCTATCACTAGTATTTTTCTGGTGTGTGCGTGTTTGGCTACTTTTTGTCTGTCTTCCTACTGAATACTGTTTCGATTTATAATAGTCAGATGAAATACATTGTATTGAGTTCAAAGCTGGTTGGCCACTAAAAAGAGACGAAGAAAAAGAACAATTAGAACCGCTTCTACAATCTTTCTGCAAATAGAAGAATAGTATATCAAAAATTCGTTGGAACTCTTTTTTTTTTATCACGTATGATGTTAATTGTTTCGAACAAATTTCCGGCTACTGTTCTGAGGAAGTTTTTGCGAAATCAGATTGTCGGATTACTGTATTTGTTTCTGATGAATTTTTCGCAAATTTTCGACGAATTTTTCTAAGTAAGTTTTGAAGACTTGAAGTTATTTTGGAAATTGGTCGGAAACTGACTAGAATATGTTATGTTTTCTTGTAATACATGTGCCTATTATTTCTCCCCTTTTGAAAATCTTTTTTATATATGTTTCTTTTTCATGTACAAAATAAAGAATGCAAAAAGATTCCAACTCAAAATCAAAACATTACTGGCTTTTGTAATTGAATGACTACACTACATTCAGCTTTAAACTCATTACTCCGTGACCTAATTTAGTTACAACATACAACAAAAACTAGTCCAAATACCTCTGGCGGCCAGCTTTAATCGTGTTCTCTTTAATTAGTACTGTTATAAACAATATTTTGATCACATTAGAATATATGGCTTTTGCAACATAATATGATATATCCAGCTTATAGATTTAAAAGAAGCTGCGAATCCAAAAATAAATGGAAAAAAAAAAAAAAAACGTGTGAGTTGGCTTCTTGAAGGATGAAGAACAACAAGTTGGTCCATATGGCCATAATATGAGTCGTAACCATCAGGCAAACGCGTTGATTCCACTTCATATCAAACATTTTGTAGTCCCAATTGTGCTAAGTTTCTTTCCTCAATGTTTCCATACATTTATGATTTATGTCTTATTGTCCTATATTGTACTGAACCCCGTATACTTTATGTAATTCGTATCTGCCCAAAATCTTTTGGCTGTATATAGCTTCCCACGTGAATGATCAATAGAGAAGCGCACGATCGACCAAATAAAAATAAGATTACAACTACATATGTTCCTACAGCGCGTAGCTAAATTATGAAACAGCATGAACTTTTTGCACGAATATTAGTTTTAAGGCTCATATATAATATACTAGAAAGTTGCCCACGCGATGCGTGGGTCATATATGAAATATTAATTTGAATTAGAAATTGAAAACTACATTAAGATATGTAGTTTATAAGTAATTGTTAATATAAAACATATTTGTGTACATTATAAACAGTAAAAGTAAATAAAATATATATTTGAAAAATATGAAACCGAATGAGATCAAAACAAAGTGATACAAATTAGCACATACATAATATTGTAGGCAATTGTAAATTGATGTTATTTTTTTGTGTGTACATTGTTAATATTAAAAGTAAACAAAACTCATATTTCACCTAAGATGTATGATTTTTTTAGACATTACTTAGAAAAACTTTTTCAATTTAGAAAATATTTCACCTGAGATATAATTTATAATTATGTAAACACTAAAAAGATAAAACAAAAGCCAAATCAACACGTGAAGATTATTTGAAAAAAAAGAACTTTGATATTTTCATTCTAATTGATTAGAAAAGAAGCTCACATATACGTAGATGAGATCTTTTTTATATATAAGAATTATTGTATGTAGAATTTGTTCAAGAATAAAATTAATATTGAAACCATTTAAGAACAAACATAAAGATTGACATAACTATAAAAGCTAAAGAAATGAATTTATATTAAAAAGGCATCACATGTTTACATCAATATTAACAAAGAAGATGAACGAATATATCTGTCTATTATATGTACATGACAACAATCATGAAATGCTCTTAAGTAATCGAATTTATGTTCGGTCTCTCTAGGAAAATCTAACTTGGGTTAGATATTTATATTGTTATGAAAAGAAAGACTATTATTTAGAACAAATGATTAAATATGATATTAGTGTAGAGTGTAGATTGGATATGATATTAGTGTATAATAACTCATACCTTATTAAATATTATAATTTAATAGGATTTTAGTGAAGTTCATTAATTCATAAAATGTAATAAAAATGTAGTAGGATTTAAATAAAATGTAAAAAGTTATGTAAAATAGATGTTTTAATTATGTTATAGTAAATCATATATACATATATATATAAAATAATCTGTTTTTTTTTTGGCAAAAGAACTTTAGGTATTAAAACTTAGATTCAGAAGTAGATGTCAAGTTATATTTATAGGAAAATAACTTTAGTTATATCTTTTGCTTTACACAAATGAATTTTGGATCCCAATTAATAATTTTACTCATAATAATTTTTTCATAATAATTTTATTTTAATTGTTACCTAATTATATGAATATTTGGAAATAAGATTGACATAAATGTTTAGTTAGAAATAAAAATGAAAATAATTAATAAAAAATAAAGGATAACACGTGTCATCAACAAAGAGCCCCAAATGTCGTAACGTGGTGAAAAGTTAGAAAAAACTTTGTTCAACTGATGAATGAATTAAACTAAATTTAACTTTTATGAACTATATGATTTCAAAAAAATTTAAAGACCAATTTTTTAAAACCAAGTACTTTTTGTTTCTTTTTAAACAGTTAGACCTCAAATTTTAAATAAATTAAATATTATAATAATCTATTCGATCACAAACTAAATATAATTATACATATATTGAAATGAATTACAAAATAATATTTGACATTTTCAAAAAAATAGAAGGAAGTTATTTGTTAAAGGTTTAAATTGAAACTTTTATTTATATAACAATCAAAACTTTTATTTTACATATGTGTTATATCATACTTTCTTCATTCATACTCATAAGTATGAAAACGTATGTATAATAAGGCATTAGACATAAAAATTGAAAAAAGGATGTATAATAAGACATTAGAAATAAAAATTGAAACTATGTTTGATATATATCATACTTTCTAAAATAAATTAAGATTAAATTCTTAGAATGATACTTTTATTGATTTTCAATCCATATAACAACACAAAAATAGAAAAATATTTAAGATACATGAATGTAGTGAAAAATAATGAGAGATAGAGAGAGATTAATTATAAGATGGTAATCTAAAATAGATAATAGAGATGAAATAGTGTCATATAAAACAATGTAAATATATATCATATAGTGTCTAAAATTAAAATTTAGATCAAACTTGTACAATGCAAATTAAATTTGTTTTTCAACTCATACAACAACAAACAACCAACAAAAAGAAACAGAAAACAAAACAAACTCAATTATAGAAGATTTGAGATAAAGTGGAAGAGAAGGAGGGAATGAAAGAATGAGAAAATGAGTATTTATAAGATGAGAAGTGATGAGAGTTACAATTTAGAAGAAAAAATTGTAGGAGTTAATTCTAATTTATTGAGTGTTGACTAAAATTGAGTAGAAAAATATAGTCAATGCAAATTTATATTATTTCAGTTTTTATATTAAAGTATGAGTTAAATGTATATAATTAATTGTGTTTTAATTGAATATAAATATAGATGATCAATTTTTTTTTTTTTATGGCTTGATTAAAATAATT